CTCCATCTGTCCAGGAACCGAAAAAGCTACAGTTCTGCATTTAATTTGTTGAAATGGGACTGAGCAGCAGGGATAGAACACGGACAGGGGTTCGTCTGGGTCCTCCTTAAAATCAGTTCTGCCTTTGGGTAATTTACCTACTCTTCTTGGCCTTCACTTCTTTCCATTGAGGTTATGCTTTTACTCGTCTCTTCTTTTGTGATTGTAGGGAGTAAGTAAAATCATAGGAAACTGCCAGGCACGTGGTAAGCTTAGAGATGTACTATCATAGCGCTTGCTCTCAGAGCTCTGGATTCTAGTCTCCGCTCTGTCCTAATCCTGCGCATGAGAGCTTGGACGGATGACTTAACCTCATGGTCAACCCAAATGGACTTCCTTTTCCCTCTAAGACCAGTGAGGTTGACCTGGTGACTCTCAGAGAGAGACCTACCGAAGCTCAGGTTCCCAGTGTGGTCCTGTCTGGTTTCCGTCTTTGGGAACCACCTATCCAGGGCCCGGGTGGAGATGGTCCTGCCTGCGGTGAGGAATGCACTGTTCTTTTGGGTGCTGGGGCCTAACTCTTGAGAGCCCTCGGCGGCCCTGTGCTTGCTATGGAAAGGCCACACAGCCTCCCTGCCTCCTCCCGGCCCTGCCCTGGCACACAGACGCCCTCTGTTTCCTCAGCAGGCACTTCTGGCGAGTTTCTTTCACAAATCGTGCAGAACTTGGCCTTTAGACAATCCAGCTCTTGACCGTTTTTTCCCCTCTGTGAACAGAAGGAAAGTGTGAGTTATCCTAAGAAAGCGTCCACAATGTCCCTTTTGAATGGTTTGGGCTTAGGGGGCTGTCAGTGAGCTGCTCTGTTTACTCCGGAGTTGATGAAAGTTTGAGGGCATTTTAATGAAGCCTGGGCTTGAGTATGTCCCAGTTTCCAGCCCCGGGACGTAGGGAAGTCCCCAGACACCTCGCATCAGAAAGACCACATTCTGCGTACCAACTCCGCAGCAGAACCCAAGGGAATGAACTACTAAAGGTGCTTTATTTCCGAAAGGGAAAGTCCCCCACCCTACTCCCGCCTCCAGAGCTGTTAGTAATGGCCTGAAGGTTTGGAACGTTTGACATCTGGCACGCTGACCCCCTCCCCCTCAAAGTGGTGGTGTATTGCAAGGCCAACATCTTTGTGTATTTCCTACTTGCCTTCTGAGATGAGCCCAAGTGGAGGGCTTTGGGTGGCGCTCAGAGCGGCCCGTTATTCCCAAATCTCCTCGCTCTGTCTCTCCTGGGCCTCTGTCGTCAGTCCACCACAGAATTCTGAAGGGACGCCATTTAGGGGTACAGCAGTTGTCAAACCCGAAGACCCCTCACCCTGTCAGCGACCTGTTACTCCTACCAAAAGATTCTTGAATTGGAGCAGGACGGCTGCATTGACCAAGCGTAATTGAAACGGGGGCTGAAAAAGCCTCTTGTTCGCTCTTCCTGGTGTTCCGGGTTGAGTTTAACTCAGCGAGCGCAGGGATTCTCCTCGTGCAGGGATCCGCAGCGGCTCAGAGGCCCCGTCACCCTCGACAAGCGCTTGCCTTTCGGTGGGCAGAGTACAAGCATGGAAGAGGCTCGTGCTTGTGAGCCAGGGTGTGCGTAAGCCCGATAGAGTCACAGGCTGTCGTGGGAACTGTCGGGGCCGTGGAGCCGGGACAAGGACAGAGCCTCCTGGGAAAGGTGGCACTTGGGCCGTTGCCTGAAGGACAGTTAGGATTTCCGGGAGATAAAGGGCAAAGGTCAGGGAAAACAAGTCCAAGATGTTCCACGCCACGGATGTTCTATCCTGCCTGGAGGGTGGGGGCCTCCTATGCATTCTGGAAGGTCACCGCAGGTGTAAGCGCTCAAGGAGTGAGGTTATGGGGCAGCTGGCTGAAGGGTAGTGAGCAAGCCGGCCCTCCCCCGTGTGCTTAGCGTCGCACACCTTCACTGCAACGGACCTTTTCCCCCGAGGCTCCTTCCTGAGCATGGCCCTTGGGGGCCACGCCAGGGGGTGCTCACACTCTTCCTGGCATCTTCCACTGTGTCTGCCCAGCTCTCGTCCCACAGAAGCCTTCGCTCCCAGTCCACAGACTTCCCGTCCTGCCCAGCTCGTGCTGCGTCCTGAAACTTGGACATCTACCCAGACAGGCATGTGGTCTCTGGGCTGTTAGATAGAGGAAGGTGTTCGGGGACATGAGGAGTGAGCGAGTGAGAGCCAGGAAGGATGTGGAGAGCCAGGCGCAGGGGGGCCGGGTCCCCGTTCCTGATAGGATTCCGCCGGGCCTTGGCAATGTAGCTGGCCCCGGAAGGCACTTCAGTGATGTGCCTTCCTACAGACAGCTCTCTGACCTGATAGTGGGGTCCTCCCTTTCTGTCCCCAGAGTCTCTCTCGGTTGCTGGTACCCCCCCGGGCTGCCTGCCCTGTCCTTCCTGCAGCCCCACCATGCTGGCCGCCCGCCCCCTGCCTCCAGTCCTTCCGGCGGCAGCCCTCCCCGCTCTGCACTGAATCCCCAGGTCCCTCCTCTGGCTTGCTTCGGCTTTGCCTTTGAACGCTGGTCTTGTGACTTTAAAAAGGACCTTAAAAGTTGGATCGGGTCTATATGCACTTGACCCTCGACCAGGGTGTTGAAAACCTCCCAGCAGCCATCAGGGTTGCCAGTGCCCTTCAGGGCTTGAAATGTTGACGTTAGAACAGTCACCTTCCTCCACCCCCAGACTGGTTTCTGGTACAGCCCTTCTCCGCTGACTGCAAGGCGCAGGTATTTTACCCCTAGAAGATGGACTCAGGTGCTGGGAATGTGTTGAAATGCTTCTTTACCATCTTGGCTTCCGGAATGATTCTGGAAGTAAAACTGCTGAGAGACCCAGGTTTTGAGGAGAACTTGAGAGGGACCCATGATAACTGTCATTTATTTGAAACCTTTTTAGGGTAAGAACATCCAGTGCGTATCGTCTCTAAGACTTCAGTGAAAAAGGACGGGGGAGGGTGGGCAGAGCAGCTGGTGTCCCGTCCTGGGCAGAGTGAGTCTCTGAGGTGTTGAACCCAGGTTTTTGCACGTCGGCACAAATGCTTTCACTGGAAGGCCTGCTTCGTGGACCGTGTTCCTCTGCCGTGCCTTCCCCTCACAGTGAGACGGCGAGGGCCCACTCCCTGAGACACGTGGAGGCCCCTGAAGTCCCACGAGTGCCTTTGTCTCTCGCCTTTGCTGCCTTGAACGGCAGCCCAGCGGCTGTCACAGAGACCGTGGGCTGAAAGAGCGATCTGGCGAGCAGACAGGAAGTGAAAGTGTGGAGGACAGACGGTGGAGTGGGGAAGGGGGGAGAGTGGCCGGGAGCTCAGGCTTGCTGGGCTGGGCCCGGTGTGTGCCTTGTGCTGGAAGAGAGAAGTCCCTGGCTTCCTCGGAAGCCTCTGTGCCTTGCCGCTTCCTGATGTTGACTTACCTCTGTGCTTTCCTGACCTGCGTAGACCTCCCTCACTTTGAGAGATGAGAGCGGGGGAGGGGGTGGGCGACGCTGGTGGCCCAGGGACGGGGGGTACCTCTCCGAGCTCCAGCTGTCCTGGCTGGGGCTCCGTTCCGCTGGCCTGCCAGACTTGCCAGGCTCTCCCTCAGAGTGGCCCAGCCCCGCCGTCGCAGGGAGAGCCAGGCCTCTTGGTCGCGTGGTCCTTCCTGGCCTGCGGAGGCTCTGGGGCCTGTCGGGGTTTCACACCCCGGAAGTCGTGGGCTCGTACACTGCCCCGTTCTTGGGGGCCGTACCGCCGAGTAGGGTCCTCAAGGTGCAAGTGCGGGCGCCTCGCCAGACCCGGACTCGTCCCCCTGGGATTAGGAAGTAGACCCCACAGGCCCAGCCAGGCCCCTCCGCCCCCATCCTTGTTGTCTCTCGGAACGTTTCCACCGTCCCCGAGCTGCCCAGGCAGGAAGCGAGGAGCGGTCTTTCCTCCCCGGCCACACACGCGCCACGTTGACCTGTGACGTGCCCCGCCGCTCACCAAGCCCTGCTGTGCGTCCTAGCCTGGGCCCTGACCCCTCGCCTCCAGCCCTGTCGCTGCTTCCCTCTCCCCGCCCCCCGCACGGCTCCTGTGGCCTCCCCACTGGCCTTCCTGCCACCGTGCCCCCTTCTCGCTGGCCAGGTTGCAGTGTCCCCTTATCACTGCAGAGCCTTCTGAGGCCTCACCAGCTACCAGTGCCCACCTGTCCCCGGCCCACGCCCTGTGCTCCCTCCGCCTTCTCCAGGCGCCGACTCCCTGGCTCTCCTGCACATCCTTCCTTCTGTCACGTGTCCCACCCTTCCCGGCGGCACCCGTCACCTTCCCCACCTTGTTTTTCCTTACTGGCGGGGTGGACCCGAGCGTGCCGCCTCCGGATCAGTAGGCCGCCCTTTCCTCTTCGGTGACGGGAGCCCCGAATTGTCGTGAAGGTTAAAGGCAGAGCACATGTGGAGCGAGAAATGTAGTGAAAGGCACACAACCAGTGTTTAACAAAAAGGGAGGCATCATAGTAACGTTTATTTACCACACTGGGAAATTCTTTCTTTCTTCTGGAAGGCTCAAGTTCTTTTTTCTTAAGGTCGCAAATCCTCTGAGGCTGGGGCTGGGCTTGTTACGTGCTTGCAGCCTTGGTACGTAGCTCAGGGCCGAGCCAGCAAGCAGCGGGTGCTCTGTGACGCCAGACTGACCAGGAGGGTGTTCGTTCACCCAAAGGCAGGGAGCAGGGAGGCACGTGGTCCTTTCCGCCCGCCACTGCGCCCACGTTCCCGCTCCCCGCGTTTCGTCGTGACAGCCAGGTGTCGGCTCGCCACAGTAGCCTCTCCGCTTGTATGCATCAGACACGCCGGTCCCACGCTGTGGCCAAGAACCCCGTTTCTTCCTCATTTTCCTTCCTGCTAACCCAGAACGCCCTGGCTGCTGTCTGTTGGGCCCGAGACCAGAACTTGGGGATCCTCGGCCTTGGAGACTTGCCGAAGCAGCCACTGCGACTCAGCCACTTCTGCTCCTCTCTTTCAAGACTTCCTGCTGCTGTTTTGCCGGCGCTCATGGCATTTTGGATGGTCATTGCTCTTGGACCAGCTTCAGACCCAAGAATTGGCGACAGCCCCTCGCTGCAGCTGTGCCCCTGACTCCGTCCATGACTGTCCGGCTGGCCGGGTGCCAGAAGGACCCCGTTGGTCCTTGCGAGGGTCCCGTGGCGACCTGAACCCCAAGGGTGCTGTCCGTGCACACGGACCCTCACCCGTTTCAGCCCGCTCGTCCACTTGTGAGGGTCCCTTCCCCACGGCTCTGGGAGGCAGTGCTCGCTCCACTCTGGAGACGGGGCGACCGGGCTAGAGAAGCTGCCCATGTCATTTGTTCAGAGTCTTTGGTGAGAGCTGAAGCTAGGATCCAGATCCCCACTGTCGGTTGCCAATAACTAACGGCGACCCGGGAAGGCTGAGTGAAAGGAAAGGCCCGCACATAGGCTGGACACCGAGAGGAGTGCTGCTTCTTCGTGTTCTGACACTTCACACGCTGTAGCCGCGGGCTCTAAACGGGGTTCTAAGAACGAGTCTAAGGTAGAGCCCCTGGCATGCCGTTTAAATCCAAACCGGGTAAAAATAGTTGTCAGATTTCTAGAACAGGAGTAAAGTAATTTTTGAGTCTGTATTAAATACTTCTGTAAAGCGTTGATGCTCTTAACGTTTAGTGCACGTACAGAGCATCCTAAAACGTATTCGAGGTTTTTGCAAGAACGCGATTAGGCAAGAGACCATTGGCTTTGAAACCAGTGGTGTTCAAGGAAGATCTTGTGATTCAGATTGCAAAAATGTCACGTGACAAGAAATGCAATACGTTTCTAACTTTGCACCCATCCTACCAAAAATTTCTCCTACGCAAACATTCTTGGGGTTTTATTCTTTACATCCTTTGTTATAAAATACTAATTAGAATTCTCAAATGGTTTTTAAAACTAGATTCCACCAAGAAGTTTATTCAAAAAGAGAGAAGATATTTTGGGGGTCCACTGTGCTGCCGCTGTCCCTTTCTTTGCTAAGATGCACGTGGCCCCAGCACCCACGCCAAGGTGCCTCTCCGTGCCACGAGCAGGCGGTGGTGGCCTCGGCCTCAGAACCCGCCTTCTGACACAAAGGCATCAAAGAAGGAAGTCGCTTCTGGGCGTAAGGGAGACCCGAAAAAGGGCTTTGGCAAATAAGTAGTTGATGGGGGAACAGGAAGGAGAGAGGAGACGCGTGCAGCGGTCCCCCTCCCAGTGTGCCTCACGGAGTGACGAGGAATGTTATCAAGGGTCCTTCCTGGGGACCTCCCATCCCTTAGGAGCCGAGTCGTCGGACGTGCTTGTCTGCAGGAGATCCGTCCCCCGGAGATGGCGGGGGGTGTCGTGCGGCGGCTGTGAGCTGGACTTCCCTCCAAGAGGAACGGCGTAGCCCCGTGCTGTGTTGGTTGTGTTCACACTCACAGTCTCTGGTTTCAGGGAAGTGTGAGCCCAGGACCGGTGCTGAGCTGCGGGGTTCCCAGTGACTCTGCGTACGGGAAGGAGGCCCAAGCCACGCTAGAACAGCAGCCTCCCTGGGGTGTGTTTTCTCACAAATGATGAATTTAAGCCTGAAAACCAGCTGTCCAATAGCTTATCTGTGTTGGTGAGCAGCGTCCAGAAACACTGAAGTCATAAGCCTCGCTCGAGCCAAGAGTGTGCAGTGATGACCAATCTCTGGCAACTTCTGTCCTTCCCAGACGCTTTACGACAGTGAGTCCATTCGCTCGGATGATTGCGTCTCCCTGTGACTGGTGGAGTTGCGGGTTCTCCAGAGCTTGGGGCGCAGGTTACCGTGGAAACGCAGAGCCATCGAGGCCCTCGGGCCTGTGGCCGTAGCCCTCAGCCGCTGGCACCCTCTCTGCCGCCTCCGGCACCCTCGTTCTTCCTGATAATCAGGGGAAGTGAATGGGATGTCTGTTACAGCGAGGAGCCAGAAGTTTCCTTTTGAAGATCTCTTCTCCTGCTTTCTTGCCAGCACAGCACAGGGCTCCTCCCCAGTCATGGTTCATGCCAAGACTCTGCTGGAGATAAAGTGTCATTGAAAACTGCATGCCTGGCCAGCTTTGGGTGGCTTTGCTTCTTAGCGTGTGAATGGCCTGTTAACATGTACGGTCGTCAACCTCCACCGTTTTTTCCACCCGGAAGACTCTTGGTGGTTCTTTCGAGTGTATGTTTTCAGAACGGGTGGCCACTTCCCGCGTCTCCCGTCTCTGTGAGGGCAGATGTTATCTCTGCATCCCTGGCTCGTATATCGGGCCTCAGCTCACTGCCTTTTGCATGCTGGTCATCGCAAAACACTTAGCCAAGGAGATTTCCCAGCGAGTTAGGAGGCTGTATCCTGCGGAGCCATGGGATGACAGGGTGGGGCCTGTCACATGCCCAGAACCCTCGCTGACAGTGAGATGCCCCACACGTCTCTCAGGAGCCAAGCCGTGTGTTATCGGGTGCGTAGCCTGCACTCTCAGCCCGTTTCTCCGTCTTTGTGACAAGGATCGTAACAGCCCTTGGTGTAGATTAAATGAGAGGATTCGTGCAAAACCCTTAGCACCTCACTGACCAGCAGGCATCGTCATCCCCAAACGGGTTTTGCTGGCACTCTGACAAATTGTGACCGAGGCTGATGGCAGGGACCAGGCAGCCCCTCCTAACTGCTTTCTTTTGCAGGAACTTGGCTCTGGCACGCCTAGATCTTCTGCAGAAATCTGCCGTCTCCAGACAGGCAGCCCCCCTCCTGGCATAAAATCTCAGCCCAAACAGTCTTACTCTGGCTATAAATAAAAATTCCTGCTACAGAGAAAGCAGCAACTCTCTGTCAGAGGCAAAGCCAGGCACCAGCCAGGTCCTAGAATAAACTCCAGGCAGGGGCGAAGTGGTGTTTCTGCTCCGTGGCCAGCCTGCCTTTCTCCTGCCCCTACGAAAAATGTGGCCTCAGAGGGCCTGGAGAGAACTCTCTGGAGGATCCGTGGAGGCAGAGCTTGGGGGGAAACAGTGTAAGGATGAGCCCCCAAGTGCCCTCCCCTCCAGAGTTGCCCGAGGGGCTCTGCGGGGAGGGGCACCGCGGGGCGCTTCCCCACTGGAAGGTATTTTTCAAGTTTGGCTCTTGTCCCAGCAGGACTGCATAGCTGGGATGCCGGAGCTGCTCCCAGGCTGGGGGGGGGGGGGGGGGGGGGGCAGGGGGAAGGGGATGCTGCTGCGGGAAGGGAGCGCAGGCAGCCCAGGAGCCTTTGTCCTGGAGAGGCAGCCCCCTTGCGGTCTGTCTCCCGGCGGCGGCCACCCCCCTCCATAGCGCACATCCTTGGGTATCCTTCCTTCCCCTGGGGGCAGCCTGTCACCCTGCAGACTCCTGTGAGTCAGCCAGTGTTTAGGCACGTCGATACTAACATTAGAATCAGTCCCTAAGTAGCCCCTCGTTTCTGTGAATCCGTGGTAGACCCCACTGAATACCTCAGCTCTGGGGTTTCCTGGTGTTTTGGAGGATGAGGGAGGAGAGCTGACCGAGCAGCCCTGACTGCACCCAGGACTTCCAGAGCATCATCTCTGTAACTCCCCAGAGACCCCACCACAGAAGCGTGGTCCCTGCCTCCTGGGTTTTCATTTTGCATTTTTTTCTTCTAGTATAATTAGCATACAGTGCTATGCGTTTGCATCGCTGTTTTAAAGGGAAGGAAACTGAGGCTCAAGAACTTAGGCTGTTTACCCAAGGTCACACAGGTGGAAAGAGAGAGCCGGGGACCGGAGCCCAGTCTGTGTGATTTGAGAGTACGCCCTCAGCAGCCACCCTGAGGCCGTCTCCCGGAAAAGGCACCCATGGTGCTTGGGAGTCCGCCACCCTGAGCGGGCCAGATCAAAGCTGGTCAAGAAGGTACCGTCACACCTGATGCATCTTGTGACCTCATAGAAACCGCTTGTGAGTGTCTGTCCGGTGCTCAGTTATTGCGGGGCCTGCCCAAGTGCCAAGAGACTTTACGCTTCAGGGGTGGTCCATGAGGACAGGTCCCGGACCCCTAAAAGAGCTGGCATCTGTCTTAGTCTGTTCAAGCTGCTATAATACAGCTCCACAGCCTGGGTGCTTACATACAGCACGGTTCTGGAGGCTGTGGTCCGAGGTCAGGCTGCCACCATGGTCGGTGTCCCCTTCCGGTCACAGACTTCTGGTTGTATCCCCACACGGTAGAAGGGCAAGGCATCTCTCTGGACCCTCTTTCCTGGCACTGATCACATTTAGGAAGGGAGCTCTTAAGCACCTCCCAGAGGTCCCCACCTCCTAATACCTAAACTAGTTGGGTACGTGCTCAAGGGAGAGGCATCCGTCAGCACATCTCATGACAGCCTGTGTCCTTGGGGACACACAGGCAACAGAGCTGAACCAGGCTCCTGCGTGAGACCAAAGCCGCTGCCTGAAAGGGCCACGTGGGCTTCTCAGGGTGGCCTCCCGGGACCAGACCGTACCATCCGTTGGCCAATGCGTTCCATACGCTGTCTTCTCTTTGGCCTTTCCCAGCCAGTGAGAGAGCCTCACTACAAGGGGGGACATTCACCAGGGATGAATGGAGAGCCCCCAAAGCCAAACATTTGACCCCACTGCCATCCCCAGCAAGGTCCAGAGTGAGTCCCTCAGGCCTGGGTGGTTGCTATAAAAGATCAGTGAAATGTGGCACCCGGCTGGTGAGGGCACCGTGGATGTTCAGGCTCCTCAGCCCCCAGTATGAGAGCCACTGAGCCGGGCATCCCCTCACCAGCTTGTGTAGAAAGCTTGTGGGAATGGAGCTTCCCAGGAATCTCAGCCTCCGGTGCCTGTCCTTCAGAACATGGACGGCACTTCCCATGAATTCATGTGACCACGTACGGGGTTGGTCTTGAGTTCGGGAGTTAGATGGGGAAATAAAATGTGTACGAGTGAGTAGGTGCCTGGGGTAGGTGTCCTGAGTCTGATACAAACCTGCAGAGCGAGAGGGAGCTTTAGACTACTCAGGCCAGCCGGGAAGGAGCAGGGCTGGCCGG